CTTTTTCTCGTACATAATAACTAGGAGTATCCCAAACTTGTCACCGTCAGCATCATCATCGTCACCGTGATCATCATCACGATCGCTATGGCCTAAATTTGTTCGAATTGGTTGGTATCGTTTGGAAAATATGTGAGCACTGATCGGTCGGATCGTTTCCAGTGTCCACACAACCACAATTCGCAGATTTGATGCGCCCGGTTGGTGGTGGATGTCCATTTTCTTCCGCGCTTCGCTGCGGTTCTTTTATGCACTGTTTATTTCATATTATGGGAACGAGTGGACAGCGGCTATCGCGGAAGGGGAGGAGGGATAGGGTTATTTTGCCTCCTGGACAAATCGCATGGGTGAGGTACTTTGTGAATTTTGACACGGTTTTTATCTTTCTGAAAGTATTTTTTAAAAAATCGTAAAATGATTTCAGACTAACGGATTTTATTTAATTATAGGGTGGTGAAGTTATTTTGGAATTTTAAAGATTTTCTTCATAAAGCATTTTTTTTTTTCATAGTCTATAATTATACAGTGACGTGCGAGATATCATTGTGACCACTTTAGAAAGTAAAATCAGATGAGCACTTTAAAAAGAAAACCACTAAAAGTAAAATTAGATGAGTATTGCTCGACGGACAACACGCATTAGTGATTGGTACCCACGAGAAAGTAAGCGACCACTCGGGCGGACCACGGAAGAGGTAGACGCGCATACATCGAACAGGCAGTGGGTACTAACTAGAGGTATGCAGCCGAGGAACAAAGGTCTTAGTATAATTACCATCGACATTTGGCAGCATCAGAATAACATCACTAACCTGGAATACCCATGAGGATTGCCCGGAGTGTATTTGTAATCGTTGTTTTCTTTCAGTGTAAGCATATGTTGCTTTTGCGCTAATAATTATGTAGAATCCACAATTTTACAATTCCAGTGCCGTCGACGAAGGCGGCTTCCTTTCTGTTAGCACCGACCAGTTTCTGCATTCTCTTCCGGCTTTTCCAATTTTACGCACCACGCCTCTGACAAATCATATTTTATTCGACATAACAAATCGATCTCCGCTCATTATTGTGGTTATTTGATCTAATTATTCGAGCTGCAAATCCCAAAATTATTTCCTGGAAATCAGAACTCACAGCTGCCCCGAGGGCATCCTGAAAATTAAGACCTCAGAAGGGATATCCTGTAAGTTACAACCGGAAAGCATAAGGGTCACGGAGGGCACAACATAAATTTCGATCCTTGACAATGACCATAGATTACGAAATCTGTTATTTGAAGATCTGCGTTCCTGGCCTTTACAATTTGTGTTTGTTAATTAAAAATTTTAATACCATATTGCTGTTTTTAGCGGCTATTTTGATGAAAAATAACTGCCTCGGTCAGCACGATTTAACGGTGCAAGATAGTTGTTTGGGAGGAGGGAGGAGGGAGAAGAGAAATGGAGAGTAGTTTATTTTGGTTAAGGTTTTTTCAAACTAATGAACCGTTTGGTTCCAATGCGATTTGTTAACTGTTTTGTGTTCTAGTTTGCACTAAATTTTTCTCCTCATTATCCGGTTATGATGCTGAATAGGAATGTGTATGACTTAATGGGCCGAAACATTCCTGTTCATTCGATTATTTTTCTAACATATTTTAGTTTTTTTTCCAAAATATTTGATGTTTCATGTACATCATTACGAACATTTTTATATAAATAGAAATATCTTTACTATTCTTTTAGTTTTCAGGAAAGTATTTAACGCAGAGATTTCAGTACCTTTATTATTTTTTTTTTAATTTCAAGTAAGTTTTAACACCGTTTTAAGGATTTCTGTTGTTTATCTTACGCTATGATCGAAATAGATTTTAGTTCATAGCTTTGCTGCTCTCTGAATCCACTGCTTTTTTCTGTCTTCTAAATAAGGCTTTAGTTTTTTGGCTTTAGGTTGGCATAATAACCCAAATTTAAGACCAGGTAAAATGAACGTCAAGATGACCAATAGAGTGACCATCACACGAATGCGGCAACGGTCACAAAACGACTTTTCAGGCTCCAGGGCACTGATATTCGAAACTATTAAAATTGTTTCTCAAAACAAGTTTGAGTCACTCGTAGGTAACAGTGATTTATCACTTCTTGACGAAAGCACGGCTGTCAGCGGACAGTTCACTTTGGGAAACTGATTCGCTGCCAGTTTTATGTGACTTACAAGTTTGCTGAACAACTTTTTATGTGATTTTTATTCCGTTCTTTTCCGATATCAATCCTATGCTCTTGATACGTGCATCTTCAGCGTAGCCGCTGAACATTGATTGCAGAAGTTTCATTCCGGATTTCATTTTTGCCTGCATTTTCTTACACTGAGTTTTAGTTTCGCTTTAACACTGTAATCAGCCATTGTATCAAAACCATCGACACAACTGACAACTTCCCCATTCTTCTCTATTTTGAGCTTCTCTCATCCACATAATTTCATCTAGCTGTTAAAGCAGATCCTTCCAGAGCACTGGTATCCTGCCCGATGTCTTGTTTTTCTAACTCATGTAAATTTTTTCTAAATTTTGTCAAAAAACTCATCTGATTGCTTAGGTCTTTTACTCTACATTTGTGATCAGGTAAGTAAAAAATTTGTTGGACTTGTTCCGTTGCGCTGTTAGCAACCAAAATTTTCTTATTAACAAATTTTTTGTAAAAAAAAGCA